TGTATCCTTTGTCACCAGGGCACCCGCCCCATTCAGCAGCGGGCCCACGTTTTCCCTAGTCTTCCTTTTGCTATTGATGTATTTGAAGAAGCCCTTGTTGGTGTCCTTGACATCCCTTGCCAGATTTCATTCCAACTGGGCCTTAGCCTTCCTTGTCGCATCCCTGCACACTCTGACAATGTACCTATATTCCTCCCAAGTGGCCCGTCCCCTTTTCTGCATTCTGTAGACTTCCTTCTTCTGTTGGAGTTTTGCCAGGACTTCCTTGCTCATCGATGCAGGTCTCCTGCCCACTTTGCTGGACTTCTTACTCAGAGGGATGCACCCGTCTTGAGCCTGGAGGAAGCGATACTTGAATATTAACAAGCTCTCCTGTACCCCCCTTCCTTCTAGGGCCCTACCCCACGAGATTCCTCCAGGTAGATTCCTCCAGGAGATTCCTCCTAAAGAGGCCCAAGTTAGCTCTCCTGAGTTTTTTCTTGTAAAAAATTCAGTTTTGAAAGTTTGCTCACTTATCCCAAGGAAGCTAAAGAGGCATGAAACACAGAAAAGGCAGAGGTGTAATACTTCTTCTAGCTCCTGAGAGAAGAACAGATACTTGACAGATTGTTGTGAATGGGAAGAAAGACCAATCCTCAGTTACAGGACTTCTCCAAGTAGGAGAAGCATACAGATATCTGATGGAGAAATGGGTCTTTCAGGCTCCAAACAGACTGCTGATAGCATATCAACAGAGCATCAGACTAAATAGATTAGAAGGGTTGCAGATTATCTCAAGAAGATTACAGAAAGCTCATCCAAAGCAGGCAGTTAATATCTCAAATCAGTCATTAGGGATCAAGGAATGATTGCCTTAGGAAAGAAGTTTAAAAGGTTTAGATACTTCACCTTACTATCTGAACTTCCTTCTCTTTGACGTTCACCATTACTAGAAATGTCCACCCTTCTTGAAGTCTTTCAGTTCTAACGATTTTTTAGGCTTCCAGGGCAGCACAATAATCACAAAGGATAATAATATTTGATATGCATTTAAAGCATTTCAAGCCAATTCATAAGACATGGGCTACCAAATATCCTTATTACTAATTTTACAGATACAGAATAATCTGTCCAATACAAAGTCAAACAGCAAATAGGCAGCAGAGCTGTAGTAAACTACAGAACAAGCAACAGTGGAGGGGAGGAGCATGGCTTCCCAAATAAAGATGATTTTCAGTCCTATAGGAACACTGTTACATTTCTAAGACCCTTCAAAAGACACTAGCATAGTTCTCTGCAATGACACAGTAGCAACTATACAGGAAAACAAGGCTCCGTGAATAACTGTTTTTAGATTGACGGAAAAAAAAAAAGATCATATCAGGCAAATGAAAATGTTAAAGTTTTACTCACTGTAATGAAAAACATGCATTTCACCTACTGTGACAAAAATTTCACTTTCATTTCTATTTATTTGATGCATTTTTAACAAAATCAAAACCATGCCAATGTCTTATGCCTCCGTCACAAGATGCGTCCAGCGATGATCTTTTATCTTGTAGTCGGGAAACTAGCATGATCTGAAAGGGAGAGAGGGGAGGGCTCCGTGGCTTTGCCACATGAAGTACTATGACAGGTTCTGGGATGTTCACTTCGTATGTGACGGGGTAGATTCAAATCCAGCTTGGCAAGAAATTGCCCAGAGCATGGGGCTACGTGGGAATCTGAAGGGATTGTTGCAGTAGGTTAGAGAGAGTATCTTTTTACCAAGCCTGCTTCCTGTATTATCAATGTATGCTTGTGGTCTCTATAAAAGCTAGTAACATTCCAGAGATCATGAACTCATAGAGTATGTGTGTGACTAGTGTCTGTTTAATGTTTAATTTGTAGTATGAGTAATTTCAAAGAGGGTTTAGGGAAATAAAGCATTCAGATCAGACTAATTAAACAAGAACTAGTGTTAATATCCTTTACTTATGCAAGGTATTCAGCTATGAATACAAAGCTATGAATGTACAAAAGACATGCATTCAGTTCTGCTTTGGGGCACAAGGGAAGAAAAAGTCATACGTCATTGAAACTGTATAGGCACCATGTGAGAATGGTAAAGGTGGCTGTAAAATAAAAGTGAGTAAGCGCATGGAAGTTGTCATCTAGAACTAAAGTATTTCATCTGGGGGATTAGTCATGAAAAGTAAATGTTTAACTCCTGAAGCTGATACAAGGTGCAATAAAAAGAAGCAGAAAAAAAAAGAACTGAAAAGCAGGAATTCAGAAAAGAATGCCCCAAAAGGGTAGACCCATAGGAGTTACTTCCCTAGCTTCCAGGCTAGCTTTAGATTTACAGTTTTGGGCCAGCATTCAGAATACCAGGTATTGCCTTGAGTTTTCTACACAACTGACCCAACATGAAGGATCCCAAACATCTTGGGGTGGGCTTTAAGATTTTTTTTCCTTTTTTTTTAATCTAAGTTAATAAAGGGTGCCATTAGAACTGCATTCAGATTTGTTTGGCTTGTAACTTACTGTTACCAGAATTTCAATTGCAGGTCTTAAGCCTGACCTTAAGTCCTGCTTAATCAGTCTTCCCCCCCACCGTGTATGTCTTATGTTGTGGGGGCAAGGAGAACTGTCCTGAAATGGGCAAATGTAGCACACACTTTCTCTCTGGATATAGCATACCCAAATAAAATGCTCCCTACAGGCACCTGAGGAGCCTTCACCCCAGAATGAACTTAAAGCATTCAGGGGCTGGAGAGTGTTTTGTGCCATAGTGGAAATTGTTTGTGCCAGTCTTTAAGGAGGAGTTATCCCTTAAAGGCAAAAACTAGCACCTCTTCTGCAAGAAGCGAATGCCCGAGAAGTAGCTTATAGCTTGGGCAAACCCTGAAACGCCTCTCAGTTTCTTCTTCTGACTCTTAAAAATTCTTTGTGCCAGTGAGAACACATAGGTCTGAAGCCTGCTGGCCATGGAACACCGAGTCACCACCTCTCCCCTGGCCCAGCAAATGTTTAAGAGGCAAAAGGACAGACTGAGAGACTGAAGAGTTTGAAAAGGAAAGGGTGACAGATAGGGTGACCTATCTCAGGATAATTTGCTCTGGATAGGACATTCTCCTAAGGCATTTTTAGATGCCTGCTCAGAATCAGATAGAAGTGAATTTGAACTGTGATGTCCCATACAAATCATGAATATTCCAGATAACTAGTCTAAACACTGCTAGGTAAAATAGGAAGAAGCAAGGAGCTGCTCATCCTCCTTGGCTTGTGACTCTATCCTGAAAAATGTTTGGAACGAAAATTATTGTGTGCATTTTGATATATTTGGGGTTGAAATCATTTTTATGGATAGACCTATTCAATTAAAAAAGGTTTTAGGAAGAGGGGGACTCAGTGTCAGCGAAGCTATTTTGTGATAAGCATCACACTGGGAAAGGGACTGATTTTCACCTTTTCCACCTGCTGTGGTAAATGAATGGTCTGTTTTTTAAAAATAATTTTAGAACACGCAAATGTTAAGAAACAGATGTTAGTGGACTATTAAAACACAGAGCTAAGTGATCTTTCCCCCCTCAAAGAAAATCCACATAAAAAAATGAAATTAGACTGCATAAATGATCAGCACACATGCATTTCATCATTTTGCTTATATACACAAGCTCTAAGTCAGGAATAAAGACTGAAATCTGCTACTTTTGCCAAGCACTACCTACTTTGCTCTGCTATTAATATCGCCTGTGATGCAAGCACTCCCACCCATTTCTGAGAACAGTGCAGGCAGTCTGATAACTCACAGGCTTCAGGCTGCCCTTATAAAGTTGTTCCACTTTTGCACACTTCCTCATACTGCTAGTTCCTCTGCAAAGATGAAGCTGCTCGTTTACTTAGTCTTGCTTAAGACAGCTCTGCTTGCTTTAACAAATGTCTTTGCAGTTGTTTTATTAGAAGAGGCAGAGGATGCTGAAGAACGAAAAGTTACTGCTACGTGTCCTATAAAGGTCAAAACTCATGGGAAATGTGATGAAGGAGAGGATTGTCCATATCAGATAAACCTGCCTCCAATGACCATCCAGTTACCCAAACAATTCAGACTGATTGAGAAGACTCTCAAAGAAGTTCAGACCCTTAAAGAAGCAGTAAACAAGCTGAGGAAATGCTGCCAAGATTGCAAGCTGCAGGCAGACGACAACCAAGAAAGAGACAGTAGTAATGAATTCCTGCTACCTAATGCAGAAAATCCAGAAGAAAACAGTAAAATCCAAGATAACAGAGTAAAGGAACTGCAAAGCAAAGTTAACAGAATGTCGACCAGCTTAAAAAATGCAAAGAGCCAGATTCAGACACTGCAGGGTCGCCTAGAGAAAATGAGCCTCATAAATATGAACAATGTAGAAAATTATGTTGACAGCAAAGTTGCCAATTTGACATTTGTTGTGAACAGTCTTGATAACAAATGTTCTTCTAAATGCCCAGCAATGCAACCAAGACCTGGTATGTAACCTGTTAATTCTTTATGCCTGTGTAAGCTTTCTGTGCGTTTTACAATTATTAGATAAAAGAATTCAATATATTTTAATCAAACAGATGTGCTATCCACTTCACAACGTAAATATGTGCTCTTTCAGTGTTTATATATACTCCTGTAAAACGTTTCAGCTGCCACTAGAGGGTTGCTGAGAGTTGCAGGTGTTCAGTTCCTCCTAGAATTTGACCTTATTATGGGCTTAAAGCATGAATTTTCAAAGGGCATTTTCTGTAATATAATTAGCAAACATGAACAATTAATGTATTATTTTACACCCTACACCTTCGTTAAGGATATTAAACATCAGTGAACTACATAATATTTTCTGCTTGGATGAAGGGGGCAATTATCCTTTTTAGCTGTGCCTTAGACAACTGCAACTATTTTGAAATGGTCTACAAATCATTATTAAACATGAAGTGAATCTAGTAAAATGTTTATTTTTTAACAGATGGATTATAAAATATTTTTCTACCATCACAGCAAATACCTGAAAAGCTTAGCTAAAAAAGCCTACCAATAGTACTCCTCAAATGGGTAATGCATGCACTTTAGCCCTTAGCAAGAATCTAATAGATCAGAAATATCTAACATATAAGAAATAATAATGTATCTAAGAAACAAAAAAATTGAAAACAGGTGTTACAGGTGTTACCTCTGACAAACACATTATTCTTTTACTTTTTAATGTCCTAATTAAAATCAAGATATAGATCCAATACTTTCCCCCTTATGTTCACCTTTATTTAAGGAAGAATAAAAAAAATTTTTGAAGTCTACCATTTTATGGAAAGCAAGAAATATTGAAAACAAGAATATTGACAATAGGAAATATTAACAAGATTGTCAGTGTATTCTACTACTTAGATATCATACATATGAAGATAAGGCTCTGCAGAGATAAAGCACTGAAAGATCAGACTACATCGAAGTTTTTAAGCCTCAGGTTTATCCAGGTTTAAAATAAAACTGTTCTTCTGTCTACCCAAAATGAAAATTGAAGGATCTGCAGATCGTATAGTGCATGTACAGCTGAAATTCTGAGTAGTATGAAAAGAGCAAGTGAATAATAATACAAGTACTACTTTTACTATTTCAGCAATCAGCTTAAATCAGTATAAATCAGTTTAATTCAGATCTAAAACCGTCACAAATAGAATGACTGTTATTCTGTATATTGATAATGGACAACGAATCAAATTTAGGTACAGTATTTCATAATAGACTAAAGTCATTTTAGTTATTTCTCATATCTCTTACTGAAATATTGGATCTTGTTCCTACCACATGATCCTGTATATATTCCTTATATATACAGTAAGCAATGCCTAAAAGTACTCATAACAGCAATACATACAGTATGAAAACAAAGCCAGGATAATAGCTACAGGTTTTTCCTATATAGGAACTGTTCCTGCTTCCACTGAAAGTAATAGCAAAACTACTGTTTACTTAAATAGGAATGGAATTGGATTATAAAAAGATTTTACCCAAAATGGTTATTCTCTGTCAACATCTGCTCTGAAACTTTGACCACTAAAGATCTTACACAAAGTTCAGAGAAATTAATGAGAATCTTTCAGTTTGGGACTTAGATTCAGCTTTTAAGCCTTTGATTCCTATACTGACATATAATATCTGACTATAGACATTCACATCTGAAAATGTTTACCCTGTTCTCTGGATATCAAAAGAAAATACTATCAACTGTCCCCTTCTGGAGTCTTCTTCCAAGGAAGACAAAGAAAAGGCACAAAGAAAAGCTATTATTAACTACTGTTAATAGTTAACAGTTAATCTGACCGTAATTCCTTCCAGAGGAGAGCGAGGGATTTCTTGTTCAAGATTAGCCTTCAGCAATTTGCATCCTTATTTCATGCTGCTAACTCCCATGCCACAGTCGCTCACCTACAAAGTGTGTACAGTATAAGGGCACTTCTAAGAACTCAAAGTTAAAGATATATGTAGGTTTGCCCATAAAGAATAAAAGAACATTTTTCTCTCTGTGTTAAAGAGTTTCTTTGTTATATACACAGATTTCTACGAGAGAATAAATTCTCACAGGATAACTCAAATTTACCTATAATTTCTTATATATTTAATAACTTCTACAATAATCTTCAGATGTTCGTTTCTTCCCAAAGTTGTCTTATTTTATCAAGGTTCTTAATGTTCTTATAGATGGCCAGTTTATCATACTAGTAAACAAGCAGTCCTGAGTCTTAACCCCTGCTGCAATCTGAAAACACTTCTTCCTTTCAAGAACATGGCCATAAACTCAAATCTACAACAGAAATGAACGTTGTCAAAACGGTGTTGACTCTTAACTCAGAGCTTCCGAGGGCTCGCTGTCTCATATTTAGGAACACGCAACTATAACACCATGCGTTCTGAAAATTGTTGCAGACAATGTTATTTCTAAATTAGTGGATTGAATATGGATTTATACTCTGCAGGAAACACCTGGGAATATTTTTCGTTCATGTAAAATACATAGGGAGAAAAAGCTGTGCTCATGGTAGGGCTGAACCTTTTCCTTACTTTAAAGCCAGCAGTGCCACAGACACAGGAAAACACTGTCACATTTCTAGCTTCATCTTTCTCAGAGTCATAGTGTTTTGACAATAGATGAGACAATTCTACTACTTTGCTTCCTGTTTCCTAAAGCACTTTAAAAAATTAAAGATTAATATGTTAAAAATTCCTAAGGATGTGATGTTCTGTGTCCAATGACGTTCACTGAACAATAACCAACCTAAAGTCATTCCCGCAGGTACACAGCTTTTCCTCTGACATACTTTCACATCAAGATTTATATTATAGACATAGTGGGATGATATATATTTAAATACAAAAAAGAGCAAGCCTGTGAACATGAAGCATTAGAAATATCAGCTTGAAGATACTGGGCTGAATTCACAGGAGGTAGCGGAGGGGTGAAGAAAAGGGCGCAAAAAAGGGAGAAAAGGAAAGGCAGCCAATCAAAATGCCCCCATGTCAAGCAGTTTTGATACAAAAGTCATGTAAAGGGTTTGACAGCCATCTGATCTAGACATCCTAGGTGGTATCTATTACAGAGTAAACCTGATGGAAAAAAGCTGTCTCCTCAGGAGAACTAAAACTGCCGGTAGCACTATTTCATATCTAGAAGTCTCTCTAATCCAAAAGGCTGAGCATGTGTTTGCATCTCTCTTAAACAGCTTTCTTAGGTTTGACTCATTAGATGTATTAAAGGCAGATGCAATTCAAGTCCAATATGATGGTACTGTAATGCAAAGCTTTGATTAACTTTTGACTTTTCCTACTTAATAACTGCAAAAAAAAAAAAAAAAAGAAGGCACTTGGTAAGAGAAAGAGACTCCACGAAGCACAGACAACAGCATAATAAGAGTCTGCGCTGGATTTAAAATGTTCTGTATGCCACAGTCTGGAATGATGCTAACAGGTTTTGTTTATTTTTAAATTCAATTTGTGTTTATTTTAACACTATCTGTTTTTCCACCAGTTGTACAGATTATGCAGAGAGACTGTGCTGATTATTATATAGCAGGTAGAAGAAATAATGGAATCTACAGAGTTACCCCTGACCCCCAAAACAACAGCTTTGATGTTTATTGTGACATGGAAGCACTGGGAGGTGGCTGGACACTGCTGCAGCGGCGTCAGGATGGTAGCACCAACTTCAACAGAACGTGGAATGAGTACAAAAATGGCTTTGGAAACCTTAGCAGGGAGTTTTGGCTAGGGAATGACAAAATTCACCTCCTGACAAAGAGCCAGGAAATGCAACTGAGAATTGAACTCGAAGATTTCAATGGTATCAGAGAATATGCTAAATACCAACATTTCTATGTGGCCAACGAATATCTAAAGTACCGTCTGAGTGTTCATGGCTATAGCGGGACAGCGGGAGATGCCCTTCACTACAGCAAACATTACAACCATGATCAAAAATTCTTTACGACGCCGGACAAGGATAACGATAGGTATGCATCAGGAAACTGTGGAGCATACTACAGCTCCGGCTGGTGGTTTGATGCATGCTTGTCAGCCAACCTCAATGGCAAGTACTACCACAAGAAATACAAAGGTGTTCGCAATGGGATTTTCTGGGGTACCTGGCATGGTGTTTCTGACGATATTCCTAGCGGTTATCGGCAACCCTTTAAATCAGTAAAAATCATGATCAGACCCAAAAGTTTTGCGCCATAAATCTAGGCCTTTCTCTTAACTGGTTTGCATTGGATTGCGCTCAGAATTATACTTACTCAGTATTATACTCAGAATTCAAATATTCAGTTATGTTTGGCATAAAATAGTTCTAGAGAAATAACATATCTCCACATAAATCTTTAGAGATGGTTTGCCCTCTAAACTATTGCTAAAACTTAGCATAGGTTAAGTCTTGGTATTGCTACGTAAATATCCTAGGCATTGTGGTTGGTGCTTTTACTGTCTGTGGTATACTAGATTTTATAATGTAAAAGTTGTACACAGTCTCCTTTAGATTGTATCTGAATTAACACCTGCGTTTTCACTTGAAAATAACTGAGAAGCACATCTGATAACATACATCTGTTAGGCACTTAGAGTAAAACTTAGCGTCTCTTGATATGGCCCTATTTTTTGTATCATCTATGTTTCACAACCGCAAGCCTATGCCATGGCATAAGTATGACTTAGGAAAGTAGTGTGTATTATTATTTTAAAAGGATTAGGGAACATAAGACCACGTGGTTGGCTCAAAGACGCAAAAGAAGCCTTGAGGAAAAATTAGAAAAGGAAGATGATTCCTTTCGCCAAATAAGTTGGTGAAAGAATTGAATAAGAGCAAGTGGAAATAGTGTGTAGAGCACGTAAAGAAGGAGGACCCTTTTTGTTCCCGTCAATTCCTCTGTTCAGGCCTAATGTCCTATTCCTCCTCTGTGGGAGAAAGGAATGGTTATGTAGCTTATCGCAAACTTATATAGGTAGACAGACAGGTAGGAAGAAACAGCAGCAGGGATACAAGTCTTTGCATTAACGCCTCTAAATACATATAGGAATTTCCAGAACCATTTGCTTTCTTCTGAATCTTTTATGTAAGACAAATAATACAAGATGACTTTTGCAGAGACTCAAGCTCTCTCTTAAAAACTACTCACTACATGTACCATTAGAGCTTCAGTTACTTATAAGATTATAAAAAATTTGTAAAATTTTTTTTTTTTACTCGTTTTCTGAGTAGCCCTTTTTAAAGTCACAGAAACATGAAAAATCCAGTGGCAATTACATACAGGAAAGAAAATAGGTGAAGTACCTTTTTGTTCTAAAATATAACAGACGAAAACTAATCAAATGTTCAAACACTTCAGGGAGTACAAGCTAAAGATAATATTATTATAGCTCATATTTTAGATAGCAAGCATAAATTTGCCTACATAAATCTCTTGCCCACATTAGAAAGGACATCTCTCTACAATTAGAGTGACAAACATTCTGAGATGAGATGCAGTATTAGCGTATTATATTAGCAAAAGAGGTATATACCAATTTTGAGAAGGAAATAAACTACTAGGCCTGTATTTCCTTACCCGTAAAAGTGCGCCCTTTGCTGGCATAGGCTTGTTGGTTAAAGAAGCTATTTCTTAATGATGCTAAGCAACCGAGCGATGCCAATGAAATGGGTAAGCACATATCTGATCTAATACTTTACAGGTATGACCTTTACTGCTTTTTAAGATGATAACTAAAACTATTATAGTCACAAGTTATGTAAAATGAGCAACAGCGGCAATTACTAAATTGTAAAATATTAATATATATATTTTAAGGGAGTAAATACTTTGAAGGATATTTCAGTGCGAAGTGTAATTTGTTTTACTATGTTTCATTTTTAAAGATTAATGGAAGATTTTAACTTTGAGGTGTACAATCTTTGCTTGAGAACATGTTTTAAGTTTTACAGTATTTATTTTGGGATTAACAACAATTGTCTAAACCAAAAAAAACACTGACGAAATATTGGTTAGAAGAGCAAATATGTAATTGCATATGTTTATATTTCACCACATGGCAAGAAATGCACAATTTGCTCCTATTCATTGTATGGTAACTAGATAAGTACGACAATTATAGTATGTACAAGCTTCTACTTGAAAATGTCTTTTTCCTGCTAAGTTGCTGGAAGAGCAACTGTTATGTTTGGCATATCTTTGTATCTTATATAAAGGGAATTTTGTAAAAGAGAAATTTTAACAGAATAAGCAAATGCGACTAACATCGCCTACAAAAGCCTTGGCCAATCTCTTAAAATGGGAAGGAAAAGGCAGTGAACGTTGTTACACAAAGCTCACTATATGTACCTACCTGGAACTGTTGTAGCTGAGTTTCCATTAATACGTATTAGTTTTACAAAGTGTAACTCTATCTACTTGCTGGATCAAGCGTTATTTTAAAATTTTCCTTGGTGTAAATAAAGATTAAGACGCACTGTTGAGGCCTTACTACTGTCATAGGATTTTAAGTTTCTTTATGTGGACTATAAAAGAATCCTCAAAAATTGTTTCATTGATTTTATGTAAAAATTGAAGCAATAAACACAGCTCTAGTAAGATAACTTCAGATGGCCATGAAGAAGGCGACGCGATATGACGAGAGCGCCACGGAATTTTAAAATGGTGGTAACGAGAGCTCTTAAAGACACCCAGTTTATGACACTTCAGCTGCTAAATAAAAGCAAAGGCTGAAACCTTGGACAGCCATTTGAGACTACTTGTATTTTGGAGCAGAAAAAATTAATTGCCCATCAAGAGTTTACAAAGTCTGTATCTGTAATATAAAAGAGGAAAAGCAAAATCATCATTTTTATATATTACATACAACCTTTCAGATCACATGCAAGTTTCATCAAAGCATCTGAGCAGAAATAGTGCCCCAAATTAAAGCATGCAATTTTTCTACGCAAGTCAAAGCACTTGCTCTCTGCTTGAGGCTAAATAATTCAAAACACGTCTTTACATTTACAGAAAACATCTATGTAACAGAAATGATCATATGAAAATCTTTGTGGTTTTGATCTTGCTAATATTTAAATGCTGAATTTTAGTAAAGAAGATTACTAACAGCAGCCTTGCTAGCAAAATTCCTATGGGATTTTTCCAAAAAATAAAGGCACAACTCCATCTGTTGGATGTGATCAGCCAAGCAGACTAATTTCTTGGCTTTCCATGCATTGTTTAAACAACAACAACAACAACAGAGGAAAAAAAACAGAGAAGAAATGAAAAAGGAGGTTTGAAAGCACTGATTTTTAACATAGGTTTTATCTGCACTTTTTCATGGAAATATCAGTAGGTGTTAGCTCAGGGAAAGGCTTTCTTTAATGGTCTTTTTTGGGAAACACTGCAAAAGAGATTGATTTGAGAACGACAGGTAGTTCTGTAACAGGTAGTTTGACACTTTGATGGAAAATAAATATTTGCATTTATGTGATATTTTCAAAGGAAATTAACATAGTTCTCAAAACCACACCTAGAACACTGTGTTTATAACCTAATCCACAACCTATCTTTTTAGGAAAAAAAAACATGCCAAATTTACTTAGCTTCTATGGTATGTCACAAAAAAATCAAAACAGCAAGGATGCTATTGGAAAGTTTTCACAGAGAAAAAAGAGACAACCGGAAGCAAAAACTGGCCTACCAAAAAAGAGATTTGAAATATATTTTTATGAACGCCTCCTATCTTCTTTTTTGGGAGATGAAAGTAATATGCCTTATACGGGCCTGAAGAAATTTACATACGTTTCCAAGAGAAATGGCTGAGCCAGACCATCTCTATAGTCCCTCCTAACTGCAAACACCCCACTTAAAGTGCGATGTTTCATTCACAGCTTTAACAAAACTTTTATGGAGTTAAAGTACTTCTGCCAGAAGTGAATTTGGCCATGACCCCAATGCTAACTAGAAACAGAAAACAGCATTTTAAGATGATGTGTCTAATTCAACCATAACAGAAGTCACAAGAATCGCGTGTGAATCAATATATGAGTAAAACAAGAACCTGCTTGGAAAATAATCAATAACTGGAAAAATGACAACACCCTCTTACTGAATTATGTTCATATAATCAAGACAAGTTGTAAGTCTAATTAATATTACACGCCTACCCAAATAGCATGTTAACATTTAGAATTTCACGGTAGAAAATAAGTACGTTTTACACACTTATTTCTGAGCATCTATGCTGAGTCAATGACTTTTATGGAGAAGCAGGATCTACTTTGAGAAACAGAAATTCTCATCTCTCTACTCGGACAGACTATAAATGTCCCTCTGCTTACCTCTGCAGCTCAGTCTCTACATGCTAGATCAAAAGATAATGGATTCTTCCTTACGCAGATCTTTAAGGCTCGTTCATTAAGTAGTACTTGGATAGAGATTTTAAGAATAAGTAAACTAGAAATAATTCACATTTTTAACATTTAAGGCAACCAAATCTGTAGAACAGATGATCCTCTATCATGGGACGTTTTTCTTTTAAGATTTAATTCTTATTTAAACAAACATTAACTGCTGAAAGGTTTCTGGCCTGCATTACGCACATAGACAAAAGGATCGCAACAGTCCTATAACTGACGAATGCACGTCCAGCTAACGGTGCTCTGGCTTCATCACCACACAGCTATGCCCGTAACAACGTCAGATGCCAGCGCCAGAGAGACTCACCAGTTTTAGCACGAGTTTGTCCTATTTTGGAATATCAGCTCTCGGGTGCATATTGCAGGTGAGAAAAGGGGAAGAGGGAGACAGCTTTGGAACAATAACATGCTTGTCCTTTGAAGTGTTATGAGTCTTGAAAATTTGTAAGAAATGCAAGTAGGTACTGCAATTAAAAATTACTCCTTCTCCGAGCCGCGCAGCTTTAGGGAGCTGTGTTTCCTCTGCGTCCCTACACCAGACCTGCACTTGACTTCATAATGGCAGAGAAGAAACAACACATCATAAACGGTGACTGCTTTCAAATGCGCTTTTTAGAACTCAACAAAAACACTGCCTGCTTTGGGGTAGTCTGCATATACTCGACAGCTTCCTGCCTTCATCTACTCACAATCTCATCTGCTAGAGGCAAGAAGAATCTCTCGGTAGAAAGTGTATTTACTTTGGGTCTGTTCGCACTCCTACTGTTTAAAGGCAATTTTGCTTCTGTAAATTCTCCCCACTACTTTACAGCTTTTAATAGGAGCTGCCACCAATCAGAACAAGTAATTTTCCTATCACAACCACAGACTCTAGTTTACAGGCACATTACCATCCCTAGCTGACTCCTCAAGTGACCGTGTCAACAAAGTAAAAAAAAAAAAAAATTATTTAATTAGCAGTTAGATTCCTATGGGTGCATGTGGAGGCAACATCTGTCTCTCCTATCTGTGCCAACATATTTATACAGCTTTCTCGTTGTGCCAGGAGCCTTTAAAGCATGTAACATGCAGAGTGTGCCAGGATTAGCTTCAGTTTGAAAATGTCGTTTGCAGCCAGCAGCTGGGTTAAGATTTTTATAGCTTTGATGCAGCATACACACTTCTTCAGAGTACTGAAACATATTCACTGTTATGGCTACCATGCAAGATCATATAACGAGCATATTCTATAAGAGTAGTAAGCATAGTACAGTATATATAAGCTAATAGAGATTATTTTAAATTTTCAGATGTTTAAATTTGTCCTCTTATATTAAAAAAAAGCATTTCTGAGTCTACCAAGCTAGCTTTTCTACAAAATTTTCCTTTGAAGAGTTATATAAACATTCTCTTAAAAAAAGGAGAGTTGGTTACACCTATCATGTAGAATCTAAGTAAGGAGAGAATTAAAAAACAGTTTTGTTAGCCAAAAAAAATTGTAAAAGCCTGTATTTCTGAGAGGGCACCATGTCAAAATGCCATCTGAGAAACACACAAAATACTGATTCTTAGTATTTATATTTGAAAGACGTAGCCAAACCTTATGTGACTTTCTCTTCTTTCCTGCAGCAGAGAAGCATGAGAAAAAAGAAAAAAAAGAAAAGTAATTGCTTTTTTTCCCTTACACTCCACTCAAACATTTAACAGATGCATCATTCCATGACTTTAAAGCTCTTCCAGCTAACAGACCCACACGATTCAGCTTCAGATTAGCAGAAGTAAAATTTGCTTGAGAAGTCTCTGTCACTATATTGAACTTCTTTAACAAGCACATCTCATCTATCATTTTGAGCCATTTAGAAAAGGGTAATCCCACTGAGACCTTGCTCTATGCTTCTCCTAGGACCGGGATTGCGGTTAACATTCCTATTAGCAGTTCACTGTTTTTGGCCATTGGGCAAGAAGTTCATTAATCTCAGAAAGATCACAAGATTCAAAACAGTGATGAAAAATATTATTTAGTCACCAGTCTGAGAATGTTGTGAGAGGTTCTTTCTGCTTCCTCCCGGGTGGTGGAAATAGGATGCTTGGACATTGACAGAAACAAAATGTCAGGTAACAGTGACAATTTCAATCGAAAAAAGCAGCACAAATGAAAGATTTGGTGGTGGCTTCAAACAGCATGCACAGTGCGCATTATCTTCATAGGTTATGAAGTACACCAGTCTGTAGCAGACACTTCAGAGAAGTCTCTCAAAGGAGTTCATTCTTCAGGTTCAGATTTAGCGCCTAAATGGGCAGTGTTTGTTAGCAGAAGGGTGTTACCATGGTACCTACCAAACAAGGTATCAGCTCACTGTAACTGGCAAATAGTAAAGCACCTTTTACTCAGAAGTAAGGTATTTTATTGGAACAAAAAGCTCCCTAGTAGCGTCCACTAGAGTCAAAGACAGAGACGTGCAAGATAAAAGTTGTGGCATGTTTTTTTCGGTATTGTTTTTGAAACAGATGTATACATTTGAGAGAAACAACAACTGCCTTTCTAACCCAAGAACATACTCACAGAAGGAAGAGAAAGAAAAAGCACCCCACGGAAAAGCTCAGAGACGTTGTTCTTGAATAAATTCTAGCAAGAACTGCTTGCCTATCGTTAACTGAAAAAGACCTGGAATTAGGGGAGGTGACCTTCCTAACATTTTATTTCTCCTTTTTTTTTTTTTTTTGTAGAAAAGGAGGAGTGTGTACATAATTTATAAATGAACAGGATTTACTAAACAGAATACATATATACGTGTGTGTGTGTGTGTGTGTGTATATAAAGATACTTGGCTCCACAATTTATTTCTCATCCTAACTGAAAGAACCCACAGAATTCTAAATTTTGAATAGTCAGTTTAATCAAAAGATGAACTAAAGATGAACTAGTAGGTTTTGCGCACAATTCATCAACTTTATCAAATCTTTGAAATCTTGTAAAGATATAGTGGAGGGACAACTGTTCCCAGAGCATGACTGTTGATAACAGAAAGATTAAGCATCAGAAAAGCATTTGAGGAACACTCAAGAACAACTTGAGTGTCCACAGGGAAAAAATCCTACTGCAGCGCAAGGAAGGGCAAACAGAATTAAAGTGGGCAGGAGGCGATTTGTTCACTGTGTTTACAAAAAGCTGTTGTCAGCTTTTTTTAATTTTCCTTCTGCCTCATTTAGTCATCTTGAGCATTTAATCTAGTTTCATGTCATGTTCTGCATTTTTTCCTCAGATGGCAATTTCAGTATTTTCAGTCCTGTTTTAGCAGTAATAGTAGTGTTGCAGTAAAGATAAAGTGAGAAAGTTTTGCAGAAAGAAGTAAAATCTTTTATCATACCATCTTTCAGAAAAAAATAAATTTGCATGCCAAGGACAAATATGTATTTAGATCATTTTGCTGTGGCAAGTTGCTAGTAGAATATTCATTTTATATAACTACTGGTATTTCTTAAAGTTTAGATAATGTATGTCTCATAAAATTCAATATAATTTGTTTTACAGTTTTTTTTTAGAATTAAATTGCATATACATGGTCTAGGATGCACCAAATTCAAAATGACAGCAGCATAGATTATTCTATCTTAACATAACATTTACCTAAGTAATATATTTATTTCATTGTAACAGATACTAGACTATGCAGTTTTCTACTAAAAGTAATAAACATCATCCACACTGATTTATTTCTCATCGCTCACACTAGAAGAAAATCAGATATCAGGAAAGAGTCATTAGATAAGAAACGCAATCAGAAGTGCTATAGCAAGGATCTTTATTTCATAACAACAAAGGCTACAAGAAGTGGAAAGTTCATTTTATGAATGTATAATAGTTCTCTAATCAATAGCAGTGGAAGCACTGAGTTAGGTTGATGTCATCTTGGTAATAAATAAAAACATTTGGCGAAAAGCAGCAAGTCACGATGGACTGAGTGGCTTTTGTTCAAACCTCCATCCCCTTTTCAACATTTTTACCAACCCCAACAAGGCTAAACAATGTTACCATGTGTTATTAAAAATGAAGAAGAGACATTTGTACATGGTAGACTTTTTGCAGCTATCTGCTGCTTACATGAGATAATCAAGACTGGTATGAATGGAAGGTTTACTGCCAGAAGGACTATTATCTATTCTCAAATAAATCTTAAAATACTAAAAGGTGTTCCTTCCAATAAGTATTTGTGATTGTAAATGACTAGCCAGTCATTTGACAATATGATTCTGTTTCAGTGGAAAATTCTTGAAAGACATTCCAGGAGGCTGAAGCCAGTATCAATGCAGCAACCTCTATGGTGACCTAGGTCATATATTTATTTCTGATTTGTGTTTAAAGTTCAACAAAGAAAAACACGAATGTGTCAGTGGAAGAGAAGAAATGTGAATAAGGGATGAAATGCCCAAATGACTCATAAAGCACAAGTACTAACTGCTAAAAAGTATAGTAAGAATAAATGAGTCAACTAGTTCCCTTTTAAAAAATAATTAATGACAAAATGACAGAAAGAGCTCATTATGAAATCTTATGCAAATTACTTACTTTGATTTTCCACTGCAAGTATTTTCCCAAGTTGGGAACAATTTCTAATACCAAAGTTATCCTGTATTTCCCACTAATGGCTTACAATGTTATCTGAGTTAAGCAAGTTGGCCTTACATTTTACATGTGGAATAACCTCCTTGGATAGACTGGGGAGGGGGAGAGAGGGGAAAAAAAAAACAGTCAAGTAATTTGGCCATTTTCTAGAATGTGGCTAGAAAAATATGTTTTCCCAGTGATTAAAAAGAATGAAAACAAAACCAAAAAGTAGAATGTATTTTAGACTGTTATATCATTTAGTTTTATTTTACTTTTGTTGGGGGGTGAAGATATATTGTGGCAGGCATATCCTTCCTGTTGACATACCAAAGATTCTACCACAACTGAAAGTCTATAGAAAAAGTGTGCAAGTACCTGGGTGGGGGAGGATTCTATCGTGTAGAAACCCACTGAGGTTCTACACAAATTGTTTTAAAAAATAAAAAATGACGTTTTTTTCTGTATTTATATCTCTTAGATAAAAAAAACATACTTGAATAGCTAGTATTTTAATCTTAACATCTGTGCAATTTTGTGAAAATGAAAAGACAGATTAGGTTTCTAGTTAATTCCAACTGAAGAGATTCTTTTTTCAATGCTATGTTTTACCAAACTTTTACTTATTATTCTATTAAAAAAAATGCCATTAGGACCAGGTTTTAAGTGAAGGCATACATTTTCACCTTCCACTGAAATTACATTCTTAGATAAAGTGTTATGCTCTGGAATCCAGTTGATCATAAATTAATGAAAACTGGAACAGCTGATGAAAATACCGTTTCATCTATAACTTTTCTCTTCCTTTACTTCTCCCAACTTCCTCCATGGAACTTTGCTACAGTTTAGTTTTATCTTAATTAAAATGGATCCATATGAACTAGCTAGGCAAACTGTTTCTTTAAATGCACAAATGATCCTTCGCAACTGCATCAGATGCAAATGGTGCTGTCTGGTTTTACTATTTGGCCTCTGTTGGAAGCGCTAAGATTAAGCGATTTCTCTGAACTGAATTAGGCATTTGGAAAAGCTGCACATACTATAATATTCTGTGTTTATTCTGATTGTTTAAGGTTCTCTTTACTAGTGTGTGCTGTTTGCAACATAAAGATTCTATACTGCTGTAGTGAATGCAGATGATGCTGTAATTTGACTTGCAGTAAATAAAATAAGGTGTAAAAAAAAAAACAACCCCAAACCAAAATCCTCTCACAATTTTTAGTCCAAGATATAATTACTACCAAGTTAAACCGCCATCGAATCATTACACTGTTTACTGCTGTATTAATGTTTTAAATTCTAAAATATTTCTGTTATTTCAAAAGTTTTCTTAACTCAGAAAATTCTGCAAAAGAAACTAGGTTCCAAAAGATTTCTTCTGTCATTATTAGTGATTAGTGCTTCAGAAGCCATCTAGCTTGGATTTTTCCTGCACCTATTCAGCCTTTCTAAAAACTATCATGCAATTGCCTCTATAGCTAGAAAGCTACAAAAACAAAATCTGTCTGTTCTCACTCCCTCAAGGCCACGTTCACTGGAAGAAATAACATAGATCTCTCTTAAGCGCACCATCCCCAGCGAGACGTATATGCCCTGTGTATGTTTCACAAAACATTCTTATCACCTAATAATTACAGAGGGATAAGAAAGGAAGCTATGGCTAGCATATGGCAACAACCTTCAATTATTAACAATGAAATATATAGTACAAATTCATTGATTTTGACACCATATGTAGTGCTAAAGACAGAGAAAGGGTACATGGTACCTCATCTAAACACTGAAATGCAGGACTTGCTGTTATATCAATGGATCCTTCATCTTGGGCATAAACTGTTGGAGCTAGAGCAGAGAGAGGTTCCTCCTTCTCAACTTCCAGTTCTGTGTCACTGTAAGAACTTTCTTCACCAGCTTGACTCATTTTTTGAAATTCTAGGAAGTAACAAAAAGCAGTTAATCAGATCCTGGGATATACATGACTATTCAAGATAAATTATGTGGTGAAGAGAAATAAAACATCAACATGCGAGACCCACATTCAAGCAATAAAGGTCACAATGTGAACAAGACAGATTACAACTTCACAAGAGACTTATAAGAGGCTATACTATCATTCTATCATTGCATGAACATTATAAAAAATCCTCTAGTACTCAGTTATGTTATCATTTTGTAAATGTTAGAGAATGCTGAACACAATATTTCTTAAAGAACAGGCATTGAATTATAGAAAGATTTAGGCTAGAAGAGACCTCTGGAGTCATCTAGTCCAGTCTACTCAAAGCAGGGCTAACTTCAAAGCTAGATCAAGTTTGTCAGGGCTTTGAGCAGCTAAGTTTTAAAAACTGATCAATCGTCAGACTTCTCTAAGGTGTGTGAAAATGGAGAAGTGGGATGGGGAAAAGGAAGGTGGAATATAAGGGGACACAAAGCTCCTGCTATCTTGAAAAGACACAGCAATGCCAAACAGGTCAGTAATTGTCATTATATCAAACAGCCAATTAATAGCTGCCAAAAACATCTTCTGGCATAACAATATCTTAAGAGCTCTGCATATTCAAACGAGTTTTAAAATATTGACCTTTTGCATGAAGGCAGCACAAGAGGCAAACGTTTCAGGAGGAAGACATAACAGAAATAGGATCATTGAAGAGAGCATGTAAGAGACACACTGAGCGTTTTACAGAGGGAAGAGAGGGGAAGAATGTCTTGTGCAGCACACGGAAATCTTGCCATGACATAATAAGATTGTGAGGCTATGGTGTATTTGTAGAGTAAAATAGAAAGGAAACTGTAGGGAGGACATATAGGGAAGGATTCAAGAAGTCCTTCATAAATTCACTAAAGTTGGCCTTACATGCAATGAACGGGCAACTTCCCTAAGCATCACGATATTTTAGCTCAAAACTTTAGGAGGAGGATTACCAACTTCTGCAAGTGTTCACCTGGCAGCAGCAGATCTTTCTGGAGTAACTACTAGGCAGAGAACTTTGTATTTTGCTATAGTGCAAAGTCACTGTAAAACCCCTTATCAGTTGCCAAAGATAGAGAACTCCCATCAAATTAGTCAGTCTTGACATCTTGCCAGCCTTTCATGTAGTATATGAGAGACTTTTCTCTTTTAAAATGGAACTCTTAATTTTGACTCCCTTTGGTTTAGAATAAAAACTGTAGTAAAATAGAGAACATCACAATATTTCAAACAGCATATATCAGCTTCCCCTATGAAACAACCAGAGTAACTTCACATTTCAAAGTCAGAAAGATAACAATTAAGAAAAATATAATTTATTTTTCCAATTATGGCAGGAAGAAAGGATATTAAAAAGTTATACTGTCTGTATCCGCCTTTTGACGAGTCACTTTCATCTATAAAGGTAGTGAAACTTAGACTGGTAAGTTTATGACTTTCTTCAGTGTTGTTTGGAATTCCTTCAAGAACATTTTGACTTTTAGAGAGATTTCAGCAGCAGCATTTGCTTATGGAAAAAAAAAAAAAAAAAGCAATTTCATGATCTCTCCTAGAGGAGTCAAAACATTGTGAAACAACTGTAAACAGCAAACAGGCCAAGAAATAAACTCTGAAATACTGTACATAAACATTTATAAACAGAGTCATTTTTCATCTATAAAGAGCTGCTGAACGTTTTAGAATATGCATTTCATGTTCATGGCTGCTGCTGTTTTGCTGGTACTGCTAAACATATTGAGGAATTTAGAAGGAGGAAAAAGTTCAGTGGAAGAAGTTCTAAGCAGAACAGTGCCAAAAAAAAGAGAAGTTAAGGGGTGTAGGCGTTTCTGTTGATACTTGTGTAGGAAACATACAGTTGACACCAGTCAAAAAATACCTGAGTTACAATCCTTTGCAGTACAATGGTACAAAAGAGTCCTCCTCAAAGACTCCAGATTGCTGGGGAGAGACAGAACAAAAACAACCCTCTGAATCTGAAAAGCTTAGATAATGGTAAGATAAGAGACAAACAGTGACAAGTGAGACGGAGGAAAAGAATGAGACAGCCTTAACTAGTGTGATAAACATTGGCCTCCACTTCTACAGAGGAGGAAGAGAAGAGAATTGCCTTTTCAAAATATTAACAAGTGGTACTACAGCAAGAGATATGTACCATGTGACACTAAGTTTAACATTCTTCAATTAGCTATTATATAACTAAATTTAAAGACCAGCTTATAAGAAATTAGATATATAAAGGTCAAAAAGCAAAATGGAAAAATTGTATTTATTGCTGTATCTGGTAAATAAACAGTCTAATTCAAATAGAAATGAAAGTTGGAATTATTTTTACATTTACATAATAGTTCAACCAATATGGATGTTTTCAAACTGTAGAAGTGCAAAAAAGCCCCAAGGCCTTGCTCTGACTCAGAACTGCAGAGAGAGGGAATTACTAGTCAGTTTTGGAAGCCAGGTCAAACCAGGTGGAGAACCATCATGTGTAACAGCTTCAGGAGAGCAATAAAGTCTGAACTCAGACTCCTAAGACTACCTGCGCCATCTTTTCTTCAGTACCTCTCTAGCAAACGGCAGTGTTAATATACAAACCAGTGCAGAATCCAGACAGGTCATTCTCAGCTGCACTGGCCCTTTCCAGGCTGAGGATTGCAAAAAGTAATAAAATCCCATTCTGAACATGAAAGGGTACAGCACTACGTATGAAGATTCATCAGCTAGATTAATTAAGACGACACCAAATTTATAGAAATCTCACTGGCAAATCTGCACTTTACGGCTCAATTTCATTAATGTATACTGATGAATCCCTTTAACCTAATCCCTTGCACTTATAAAATTAAACAGAAAAAGATTCAGGCTCCGAAACGTGCAAGTAACATTTTGCTAAAATTCCCGGTCACCTAGTTTTATTCTTCAGGCTCAAGTTGAACATGCTCTTTTCTTTTAAGTGATCACAATGAAAAAAAAAAATCATGAAGTGCACTAATTTTCTTTGTCGCTGCCATGAAGTTAAAAGCATGCATTCATTGTTAAAATAATAAGACATGATTTACACTGTTATTACTAGAGGTAAAAACTGATGGATGCTGATGACTATATGCTAAAATAACGCCCTGTTTATTATTTTATTAAAACTTTTGTATGAACGTACATTTAAGATAACTTACAATTTCAATCTGATAACGCCAGGTCAGATTATGAAGTCATTTAAAACAAGAAGCAGTTACCGGTGCAAGTAATTAGCTGATTAGCTGCACTCATGGGAGTAGCTACTTACTAATATTAGACCCAGGCTCATAACTGATTTACTGATCATACATTCATTATACATTGACAATTTCCTTCCTGATGGAAATGATCAACTCCTTCATATATTCCCTTACTCATTCTCTGTTGCCACACAAAACTGATCTGTTTCAGTTAAGCCAGGTTAGTTAAATTGATGTAAACATGTCCATATCCAGCTGTATCGGTAGTAGATGTTACGTATCACAGCTGCATGTTATTTCCCTCTTTTGCAAGAGGTGATGACTTCCTTCTCCTCCAACACTGGTCTGCCAGAACACTTTTATGATTACTTTCTCAGGCAAAATCAACTAAGAAAGCCTGAGGAATTTAAATTAATAATCAGAATTAAATTGGCTAACTTTGCGGGAAGTTAGTTAACGTATTCCCATCTGCTCTTCTGGCAGAGAGGCTGGCAGGTGGCGGAGGCAGTACCCTGGGTGGGGAGGCAATGAACAATATCTCAGCTGAAGTCTGGGCATGGTACAGGATGTTTGTCCGTATCTTCCAGCTACCTCTGGCACACAAATCTTATCCAAATAAAAAACAACTCTGGAAATAAGATGACTGACTTAGCTTTTTACACTGAACTAGTTAGAAAAAAAAGTTATGTAATTTAGTTAGAACATCACAATGGTAATATCTAGACAGACCAAAAGCCAGTTTAACTCAGCCAAAACTGGGGAGAAGTAAAAGTATACACCAACCTCAGTACAGTGTTGCTTCCCTGAACTCGTCTACTCTCCCCTGGAACTCATGGAAAACTTGCAATACCCATAAAACCTGGAGAAAGGGAGTACCTCACTTTACCCCTCACTCTGCATGATGTGAATAACCGGTTCTTTTTTTTGGTTTCTTTTGGATCTGGCTCCCATCAGCTTCTTTTCATGCTGCCTAGTTCTGGTACTGGAAGAGCCACTGAACCATCAAGTCCCTTCTATGCCACCAAGTGTTTTCTAGCATTGTATCCTCATTTGTCAGTCTTTTTTCTAGGCTGACACATCCCAAGCTACAATGAAAGCCTTTCTCTACCTTTTACTGTCCTTGTCAGCCTTCTCACTTTTTCCAGTTCTACCATATCCTCTTCTAGGAGGAGAGAAGGGGACAGATGAGAACTACGGATAATATTGACAACATAGGCGTACGATGGATTAAGAAAACCAATGGCATTGTGATTTTTTTTCTTCATCCCCTACAATTACATTTCCTAATGCTTCTTTCCTAAAGTTAAACTGATCCAGTGCAACATGTAAACCATCTTTTAAGTAGCAGAACTTCTGTTTTAACTAGGCAGACCCTTGTGTTTCAGCCTGATGGGCTGTGTCTTTAAACTACAAAGCCATGCCAAGACTACATGATAATTGAAATTACATGGTATACAGTTGGGTATTATGATAGCCACATAATTCAGAATGGATTGTTTGATTAGATAGACTGTACAACTTCATAGATAACTATTTTAGGGAAATGACAGCACATCGCATACTGATGTTGCTTAACAATCTCTATTGTAAGTTCCATCGCTTCCATCTGTTTGCAGGAAGTCTTTGCCATTTGGGATGGGATCACCCCAGGGTACATGTATTCTTCAGCTTTGTCTGCTGCAGTTCTATTCAGATATGGCTAAGACATGGAGGAATTGAATGTTAAGATTTGCCACTTCCCTTTTGACTTGGTTTCTGTGAGGAACTTGCTTGCCTCAAAAAATTTCTGATAGCGTGACAATCAAAAAAACCCTCTGAAATCCAAACCGCTATGTGTTCTGGAGACAGCCTCACTCTACCATCTCAGAGAAGGGACTGTTACCATCCCTACACACACACTAGAATACAGGAAAGAAAACACAGAAAAAAAACAAGGTTTGCTCAACATTGTGCCCTAGGCATGACTTGAGAACTTAAGAAGGCTCAAGGAAGTAGTTCCAGAAAAACATTACAGAATAATGTTATTTACAAAACAAAAACTGAATTACAATAATGTAATACAAATATTTTGTAATAGAAATACATAAGAATTTTTAATAAACTTCACAAAAAAATCCTCATACCAAACATCTTGAGCTTTATGACATGAAGAAACACTAAGTAGTGACTAGCCATGTACATGGTAAATCTTGCCCTAACTCCAGATGGCAAGTTGAAAGGATACGTTCTTTCATCTGCAGGTAAACATCAGCATGAACGTAATTCCAGCAAGAACACTCCTGCAGGGCAGCCTCTTCTTACTGAATAGTGAAGTTGCATTATTTCTTCATTACAAGTATGGCAAATGGATGACCTTAATCCTGCCCAAGTAGACTAAGTAATGTTTATATCCTTTGGGTTTCTGAAGCTGTCTGATCTTGTTCTGCACTTTGTTCTAACTGTCAAAGTGAAATACGTATTCCTTCTACAGCCTCTCCTGGAGGACCGTTTCTTTTAATTCTTCTTTCCTTAAGATCTCTCTTGGACTTCCCTTAGCCTAAAAGCTCCTCTTATATAGCTCTGGCTTTAAAAATCTATTTCATAAAGCAACCTAAGGTCTACTTTTTATTGTCTCTTGCATGTAATACAGAATATTCTGGTAAATTCTTTCACTTACCACAACATTCAGGTACGTAAACATCTGGCAATGACTAAGGAGTATGGTAAATCATTAAGGACTTACTTTCACAGGTCCTGGTTTAACCCACCCTATTGTACAGATGCAGACGTCTTGAAATTGCAGATCGAATTAAATCCCTAACCATTTGTAAATTTGATATAAGGTTTCTTTTCTGGCAGGTGACAAGTCAGAAAATTAAAAGTGAAAATAAATCTCATTTTATTGTTGCACAGATGGTAAGAAATACTTAATTTGCCACACTCCATACCAGCTGATATGGAATCAAGTAGAATTCAGTCACAAGCATGAAGGTGAAATGGAATTAACTTTATAGTTCAAATACAGATGACATCAGTAGAACCTTTCCTGCTTTCTTCAGTCTTCTTAAATATATTTTAAAGTGTGTTTATACCTCTAACAGGTGTCTAGTGGAAAAAACAAACCCATAAAACGGTGAAATATATAGGTAGCTAGGGCTTCAGCATCTTTGAACAGTTTGTCAAACCAAGACTCTCAATTACATGAGACATGCCAATATTAAAGATGATGCATAAGAAATGATGCATAGCACTGCATGGAGCCCAACCTGATAAACCTCTGCTCCAAGAAGACAGCATCAAATGCCCTATCAAGATGCTGCAGGAAAGGGGGGCAGCGGGGCAGCAGTGCTAAGGTTTGAGAGGAGACAGGAAACTGCGATAAGGACACAGCAGCACTAACTTCAGGAGAAATGTGTGGCATCAGTCAAGCCTCACCTGAAAAAAAAATTGGAATTCCTTGCTTTGAACGTAGGAGGTTAATAGAGTTATTTGTTGAATGGCCTGTCATCTGGTGGAAGCATAGTTCATTGCACCACCATTTAACAGGCCTGTAACTGCTTCCCTGTCAAATTATGTAACCAACAGCTAAACTCAGTATTTGGTTTCAGGGGGAGAATTCTGTACTGTTTTTCCAAAAGCAACTATTTCTGAAGACTTGACAATTTTAACTTATAGCCCTCTTCATGCCCCAAGATATGTCTTAATCTCTTTTTGTCTTTCTAGAATTCTAGCATATTGCTGACCGTCACTGTTTTGTCTTTCATTTA